TTAATATATAAAACTATTCTTCCATTCGATTATTTACGGTTTCTTAAGCAATTTCACTTTTCCTGGTTATGGATGTGGCCCAGTATTCCAATTATTATAAAAATGGATAGCGTCTATTCTGGTACCATTAACAGTATCCGAAATTACCTGAACTTACCTTGTGGTGTTGTAGGAATATCTTCATTTTATAAATAAATTTATATATACATAAATAAGTAAAACTACGTTGAACGTGCTTTTTGGCCCTCAAAAGGGCCGTTGTTCAATAGTTAAGGTATCGTTTACTTTATCACCGCTGTTTTGGCTTTGGGTGCTGCTACTTTTTTAGGTTTGGGAGACTTGGGTTTCGCAGCCGAAGCTTTTCCACTTTTTTTCCAGATTTAGGTTTCTTAGACGCAGCTATTTTGGCAGCTACCGATTTTCCGCTGCAACTTTCTTTTCACCGGCCGATTTCTTAGCTGCTGGCCTTTTTACTGCCTTCTTTTCAGCTACAGGTCTCAGTAAATCCGGTGGAAAAACAAAATTTTATTTGGGAGAACGGTTACCCGGTTAAATTGGTACTGTAGTACAGTTTGCACCCCCTGGATTATATAACATACAGATACAAGGTGTTCGTACGAGTTGTGAGATTTAAATAGGGAAGGGTCTGTACACCCTTTTGTCGCGTAGAAAAGTATTCTTGACATTCTTGAATAAAGAGAAATAAAAGTTGGTAACGGTAATAACTATTAATAATTCCACTACAGGCAATCAGCCTAAGGTTTTGCATCATCTACCGGTCCAGCAATCGACCAATACACAAGCAGTACCACGAGTACGATAGCATCCAGTGGCACCTTAGTTGCTCGTGAGCAAAAGGAGGCACGGTCCTTGGCTGATGCAAGAAAGTCGCTTGATTTCACGAGATGCTAATGAAGCATTAGCTGGTATAGCCACTGTCACCGATTTGTTACATGTGAGAGATCGATCCTCGTTCACGATATTCATGATGACATGCTTGCTTGTTGCGACCTGTAATATTTTACACATGCCTCCCCCCCCCCACACATGTGTTTACACGTATGTTTTTGCAAACCAAGAAGCCTTACCAGGATTTGTTGAGTATTTTTAGTAGCATATACGTGGGGGAATTCGTGTGCGTGAGAAAGAGAGAAAACTTAAGGGTTTACATTTATTAATTATACAAATGACTCACTAAAAATCGAGCTGAAAACAGAGCGGGATGATGCTTAGCTACTTACAAAGGTCCTAAAAGATTTTTTTCAGCCTTAACTCTCATCTGATGTCATCAACAATTAGTACTCAATGACACAAATATATTTTATAATTGTAATTACAGCATTGTGACGAGACTTTTTTTTGTTAGAGATATAAATCTGTTACACCAACTTTGAATCTTTGATATTGATATATTTGTAGGTCGTTTATGGTGTGATGCGAATGCATACGATGTTTTAGTCATGCGCGCGTATTTATTGGGTGATATGACTCAAGGAAAGAGGTGTGGCTTGAGTGGACATTAGCAGGTGATTTGATTCGTGTCGGCGCCTCTACTCTTGAGAGGATGGAATGGTCCGAAATACAGGGACCAAGCCGGTAGAGCCGCCTGTACAACACCTCGGTCAATTAATATGTAATATGTCAAACACATGATTTGATAATTGATACGTGTGAATTTTTCTTAAATGTAAGCAAGTGGAAGTGCTCATTTTTGCTTGCTGTTAACTGCGTGATGGAAAAGTTTGCTCTTCGATACCATGTTATTACGTGTGTTTTAAAGGGAGAGCCATAGTAAATTGTGGAACTTCTAATTTTTCGTTTTAAAGGAACCATTAGTTAATAGTGGAATTTAAAATTTTTCACGTCATCCGAAACATAATACGACATTGTACAATAAGCTGTCAAATTTATTTAGTCGTTTAAGTATTTATATTTCTACAGGTTTTATACCTTTCGCATCATGTTGTAAGAAAGATGGTAAGATTTGGATGTAGTTAAATTATATATTACAGCCGCAAGCTCATCATGTACGTGATACTTCAAAAGTATTACAGATCTACAAGAAGATATTGAAAAAAAATGTGTTTTGAGGTATGCTTCTGTATACTATCTTAATCTTATCACATATTGACTTTTAGAGTTACTTTTTAATATAAAAAATGACTTGCTTTTTGCATAAATAAATATTCTTTGATTGTGGAACTAATTATTTCACATATCCAATCAACGTACTGGCATTATCTGCTTTTTACTATACACATAAGTATAATTTTACGACCATAGTTGCAGTATTATTATCATTGTCCTTTCTATTATTCCTCGCATTTTAGATCAGCATAAATATAGACACAACTGCTTCGATTATCATATAATATGTAATAATACGTACGTATACTTGCAATCGATGAGAGTTAAAAAAAAAAAAAAAAAAAAAAAAAAAAAAAAAAAAAAAAATAGAGAGAGAAAGAGGAAGCGAACGTTGGCCTCTGTAGACGATCTTGTATTTATAAAACGTAAATCTAGAGCGGTTCTGTATATACGTATGCTGCATACATTGTTTTGCAGCATACACACATACACAAGATACATGTGTCACACAGACCTAGAATATGAAGTAACACCGAGTGGCTTTCAATGACACGCTCGAAGAAAATAGTGCTGGCAAAGTAGTAGAGAACATCAGCCCGCATTCGCGTGCGCATTTATATTTTTTATCTATGTATGCATAATTCCGAGCGTAGTTCTTCCTATAACCTTAGGTTATGCTGTGCATGTGATCTTGATTTTTTTGTTTGTCTTAACTACGATTTGAACTCTATTCTTTTTTAATAACATTTTTTAATTTAATATTTCCAGGTGATTGGTTCTAGATTTTTTTTGTCATTTTCAAATCATACTTGTTCAACAATCATGTTTTACTATCCATATAATTTACTTTATTGCATTTTATATTTTTAACTTAAGTCATATTTATTGTACTTAGATTCTTTAACTTGCATGCTCGTAATTATAAAAAAGCTCTTTAGCGAAAAAATATGTTTTTGCTGAACAATGAACTGAGATAATTAAGATAACGTGCTGATGAAACATTCGTAACAATTACGTTTACTGCAACTCATTGGTTTAGTTTTTATTTATTTTTTTCTCTTTGACACTGGAAATCACAACAATTGCAACTTTGTGTACTTACTTGCTAGTCATGCTATGTATATACAATTCTGCATTTTACAATAACTATAATAAATGGTACTAGGGATAGAAGGAATGATCCGTTGTATTATTTCAAATGCTTTAACTTTGTATCAAAGAGCTTTATCGTCTATCTGATAGGCTCGTAACTCCTCTTGAACTTTCCTTTAAACAAAAAAAATTAGTAACTGTAATCTTTGAAGATGCAAAGAGATCTTACTGTTTCATCACGTGGTTTACTGAAGTAGATTACATGAAATGGCAAATAATTTGCGTACATAATTATTAGCAACAATTCTATAGTATTTGTATTTCTTAGCAACTTGAAATTTTGTGGAATCCAATGTATATTGAATGTAGTATGTAATCGGAGCCTCTATCACCATCAGGGGTACATTAATTGTCTCGTTAATTGTTGTGTGAACGAAATTAATGAGAAATATTTCTTGGTTTGTTTAAAAAATAATTTTGATTCAGTATGCACTTAGCGCACATATGGTTAATGTCATTTTGCTTCCTTTTGGAGGAGGCTTTATAATGGACAAAAAATTACATATTGAGATAACATAAGTAGCATAAGTATGCACAACATAAACCTTGGCTTGAGTGTTATTATTTTTGAATATCGATCATCGTTGAAAATTAAAATTCGATTTTAACTTTTATCTCATTTCAATCTGATCGATTAAAAAAAAATCTTAATCATTGTTTTGAATTATTTTATAACAGATAATCAGAAACATAATACGATTTTCTACGTAAAAACGTATGTATAGATGAAATTAATAAAAATTATGTGTAGAGATGTGCGTAGGTGTAAGAAGACATATGCATACAGTCATTTTCCGGAGTAACAATAATAGATTTAAAAATAAATGAGTAAATATTATTGTAGATTAATCGTTAAAAATGAAAAATTTTTATTATTAGCTGAAAAGATAATATCTTAAAACAGAATGAGTCCGTAAAAAATATGAGGAAGCTTTGTGCCAATAAATTAGCAGCAGTTTTTTTACATTTATTGTAGTGATTAAATTATGAAACTTTAGAATTATTCTTAGAATACTATTACATTTTTTGCGAAGAAATCTTAAAAAAAAAAAAAAAAAATTCGTATTTACGGAAACACGAATCAAGTTATGAATTTTGAAGAATATTCATATTATTTTCAATAGCTAAACATGATTATTTTGTTAAATAATTTGAAATAAGAGATATAACTTTTATATTAAACAGAAAATATAGTTCTTAAAGAGGTAAAACAGTTTTAACTATATTTTTAATTTTTATCTTTGCATGTACTGTATTGAAGGTGTGGAAAATTTATTGTACAAAGTGCAAGTTTTTATTTTGACACGATTAATTAGTTTTCATGTAGTATTTATCTTTTATCAACTTTATAATTAATAATCCATGGCAAGAGGAAAATTTGCAGTAATAGAATATGGAGAAATGAAGAAGATTAATGGAGGGGTAAGGTAGAGGGTTGGATCAGAAAATAAACAACAATCAATTTATGAAAGTATTCAAGATCATTTAATGCCTCGATAAGGTATCATTATTTTGCGACATTATGTATGCTGATTAAAAATAAACAATAGCATGTAGATATATATCTTCATCCTTTGAAAGATATTATGCAAATCTTCTTATTCTTTGTATTTCTATCGCCTTACATACACAATATTTACATGAAATTGTACATAAAATTATCATAGAGTATTTACAATCTTATGGCGTTAATCGTAGGCGCGCGCATAATTAATGTACATTACAAATAAGAAAGAAAAAATTGTCAACGTAAACAACAATAGACTTATTGGAAAATGTATACGAAATGCTGTAGCACGGCTACGCAAGCGTCGTGGTTAATGTATAGATATAATATGCGATATACCAACATCTTTTCCGTAAAAATTAATCATGTTTGATTTTTTCATTAAAAATAGCATTCATAATAACAATATAGCACGACGTACAGATCCAATATATACATCATTCATTAATAACAACGATACCGTATTTATGTTAATAATTCGAATGTAATTTAACCGTATTGCATTGAATTTGCACTATGTATCTAATAATTATGAAAGAAAAAAATAAATTAAATTAAATAAAACGTGAAACACGATCACAGACACACTTTAGGTACACATTTACCGGTAGCGCAATCGGTAGGTACAACTTATGTGCTGATGTAATCATACATGTCATTACTCAACGTATTCATCATTACCATCATCATTTTATCTTTCGCACCACCACTAACGAGCGTTTTCATTTTTAAATTCTGTTTTTTTCCCTCAACCATTTCTCATTCGAACACAACCGATATACTTATATTAACTACGCAAAACTTCGGTTAGAAATTTTCCGAGAAAAAGCGTGTGAACTCGCGATCACTTGGGCATACGATTGCACATCAATCGTCAAGTGCTGCTGCAACATATTTGTATTCACAGCTCCCCATCCTCTCCAATACAGGGTTAGGTGCGGAAAAGCCTCTTTGTCTGCACATGTACAAAATACAGCTGGAACAGAAGAAGAAGAGAGAAAACGAACGCGGTAGAAATCAGAGAAAGATATAGCGCAGGGGACAACGGTTTGCTCCTGTCTTCTTTTACATCCGACATCCACGTCACAACCTCCGTATAGCTCGTTGTAGCATACGCAAAGACACTTGTAACAACGTACAATCACCAAAGCGAGCCACGTGAACTGTAAAGGCACAGCGAATGGGCCTGGAGTCCCCTTCCGAGGGACAGTGCGATCTAGCAGTTCTCGGTCGCCACCGTAGTGTGTACTTAGGCATCGCAGGTGTTAATGTAGCTCAGCAGCTGCAGTAGCAACCATGTATATATTTTTACACAACGAGTGTTGTGGACTGTTTGGGCGCCAAAAGGGGTAGCAAACTGAGCCTGAGCGCGGGGGCCTGCTGGTGCGCTCCTGCCCCGGGTATGGGACCCGGGGCCGAGTTGTTGGTGGCTCGGTCGCGAGCGTGGCGTTTGACGTGCTTGGCCAAATGGTCACTGCGCATGAAGCGCCTCTGGCAGACGGCACAGGCGAACTTTTTCTCGCCGGTGTGGGTACGCTTGTGCCGGGAGAGCTCGTCGCTACGCGAGAACTTGCGCTCGCAGTCCTCGTACGGGCAGGGAAAGGGACGCTCGCCCGTGTGGGTGCGCTTGTGGGCCTTCAAGTGGGACGACTTGAAGTAGTTTTTACCACACCCGGGTGCATCGCACTCGTAGACACGTCTACGGCCTGAAAAGTCCTGATGCACGGAGGAGGAGGAGGAGGAGGAGCCACTGTTACTGTTGGAAGAAGAACTACTGCTGTTGTTATTTTTACTGCTTGTCGTGGTGGTATGCGGTGCAGTCGTTGTTACGAGTAGCAGTGGTGCTCGGGGAAGGACCAGGGACGAGCTCAGTAAACCGGTAACGACTATAGGCGCGGGCTTGGGAGCCAGAGGTTGGAGTTGCTTTGGTTGGATTTGGCTCGGGCTGCTAGATAATGGATTGGGCTTTTGCTGTTGTTGGTGGTTGTTGTTATTTACGATGGGACAGCTAGCAATGAGCTGCTCACGGTCGGTGTTTTTGTTGTTAACGATGATTTCCTCCTTGCGCAGGCTCATCTTGAATTTGATACTCTTGAGGATGTTCTCCGACGGATTGGTGTAGTAATCGTGGGTGCTTTGCTGCTGGATCTTGGGAGCGTCTTTGGGAATGGATGCTTTTTCAACCAATTGAGTTTGGTTGCAGATACTGGCAAGATCGGCAGGTGTGCAAGTCCCGTCGAGGTTCGCTCGCATGATCACCGAGACTCGGGTAGTTGCTGCTAATGGTGTTGGTGAGGGTTCTGGGCTCGGGGGTGGTGTCGTACTCGGCCCGTCTAATAAGAGCTGTAAATAATAATTATAGGGTTCTCATATTTGAATTAATGCTGCTTTTTTCGTTTGTTGGATGTTTCTGTGCGTACAATATCTACGTGGGTTGTTGTGTAAGGAGCTATAGGTGACATTAAAAAAAAATAATGTACAGTAATAAAAAATTTCAAATTTTTTTTTATTTTTGAGGAAAAACGAGGCATATCAGAGTTATGAAAAAATTTAGTTAATTTGATCAATCAAACTAACGTCCACTGCTCTACTAACTGATCTATCGAAGAAAAAATAAAAAATTTCATTATTATACCGTATTATATTGAAAATTTGAAAATCCAGTGATCACGTTTAGTTGACCCGATAATCAACGTAAGTTGGGATTTAGTAACGCAATTGTATGCTCATCTCTTTCCAACGATACATAAATCGAAATTTCGTAAACAACATATTTTGTGCAAGGCAACTAAATAAGAAAAAAAAGTGTGATAGTTTGTTGCAGTGATAGGTGAGCAAACGATGTTTAAAGGGTGTAATGGGGTGTAAATGGTAATAGCAGAATATAAAGTGTGCAGTTGTAAGTACATATCTCACCTTGGCGAGCTCGCACTGCTCGAGACACTGGCGCTTTCGTGGCGGCTCGAGCTCCTCTTCCGAGTCCGAGGGCTGTGGCGTAGGTGGCAGTGCCATGCATTGCTGCTGGGGCTCAGATGCCTTATCAGTTACAGTATTATTGGCGAGCTTTTCGCCGAGCAGTACTGCAACGCTGAATACGGAAGGCTGTACGGGCTCAATCTGGAACATTAGATGGAGTATGCCATTTTTCAGATTTGTATCTCTTGGTGCGACTAAAGATTCATGATTTTTGTTTAGCTTTATTGAAATGTGATGGTATGAATTCAATGGTATGGAAGTAATACGAACTCAAAAATGTATAATTTTGTCTGGTGAAGATTATATAATCATCCGCGAAGGTTTTCAAGAAAATCTTTCTTGATTCAATAAATAGTAGTCACATTTTTCGTCACATGTACGTCATCTCTACCAGGACGATTCCTATGGGCCCGAAAGATAGCTCAAGTTGTATTGCACGTAGCGAATCCTACTTTTTTCTATCGAGGCCTCACACAATGAAAGTCAGAATAAAATATTCCCATATTGAAAAAGGATTGATTGAAGAGCAAAAACGCTTACATGGTGGAATTTTTTTGATAGATTCTAGCGTTTGATGATATAATTTTTTTACGAGTTTGTATGGATATAAAACTCTGGAGAGATAAAATACGTGCATTCTAACTTATGTTAAAATTTTTATAGTAAACTATTTCAAAATCACACAAAAGTGCATATTTTCGAGACAGCTGCTCGAAGTTAAAGAGGAACACACAGATGAACGAAGTTTATTGTGAAAATGCCAACATGGCATAAGTTTTCGGATGATGATTTTCCACGTGAATGACGATGACATTATAAAAAACATTGTAACAAATTTTTACAGAAAAATAAGGGTGGGGCGTGTGCTCCGTTCGAATTTCGCGGGCCTCGATGGATATAAAAAATCTCTCGACGAGATCGGCGCGGGAAATTCCAAACGCGCGATCCGTAAGTGGTCTCGAATCTTAATTGATGCCTTACTGCTTCGAGCCAAGTAAGATCCTATACGTGACTAAAATGTGAATGAAATGTGAGATGAGGACGAAAATGGGTTGAAAATATAAAACAAATGAAGAAAAAGTACCAAGCATGCGGAAAATGTGTACTCACATGGATCTGGTTTAGCTGTGGCGAGGCCGGGGGCGAAAGCGGGCCGGGGTTGTTCTGATGATACATCCTGCGTATGATACTGTCACGCTGAACTAAACACTATTACGCAGCACTAGCAAAAAAATCAAAAAGCTTGCGAAAACTTGAAACTTCGGTGCACTCAAAAATCACAAGAACTAACTGACTTGATATTTTATTTCTTTGGTTTTTCTCTTTTTTGTTTCCAAGCACAAGTACTTAATCGGTACTCTTCACTGAATACGCAATTACACAATTCCCAGAAAACTACCGGAAGTTTCGAAGAACTGCACTGAATGCACTTAACAATACACAGAATAAAACTTGGAAACAAACGGATGCTGGTTCTTGAAAAACTGGAAACACACCAAGTTCACGTAAGTTGAAGATATATTTCAATAAAAATACTTCGACTCGAAAGATGTAGAAATTCACAGTGAAGTCTTAAGTCACTCTCTCGTACAGGGAAGAGAGTCACGGATGCAATGCCATCACCGCCGTTGCTGATGCTGTTTTAGTATACACCTAGGGAGAAAAAGAGCGAGAGAGCCGCCCGTGTATTTGATCCTATATACGCTCTACCCGAAGTTTGTAGTAATATGTGTGTCGAGTGTTGATGGTGCGCGGCGTGCAAGCGACATGCGGCGCTACGTCGAGGCGCTCTGCACCAATGATGGCCGGGGGCAACAGGGGCTCGGCTTGGGCTCAGCCAATCAGGGGCGAGTCCGTCAGTTGGCCGGTGCGTGATCAGTAGCGTGCTGTTCACGTGCTCGCCGGGTGGCCGAGGTCGTGATAGTGACGTCACGCCAGCGTGTCTGCCTGCCTGCCCGTCTATACTTATTGCCCCGTGCACCCTATATATTTATATATAGCTCATTGCAATGCACACGTTATACCTTTATTTTAGATTCGCGCAGCACAACACCACAGAAAGAGAGCGAGACGCTCCAATGTAGACGCTGCAGACACGCGCGACATACATAGGTGTACTATATGTTGTACCAACGACTATCAACATTTGTTAAGTGTGTACCCAGTATAGATGGAGAAGTCTATGAAAAATCAAAGGGTACGTAATGGGAAAATTTTTTAATTCTGTTACGGTGGAAATTTAGCTATACAGAAGGAGCTGAAAGATTAATTTCTATTTCATTTGATTTAAAAGTGTTATTCGAGCACTTATAATGATCTTAGTGACGATGAAATGAATTACGAGAAAAAGAAAACCATATTAAACTCACAATATGAAACCTTAAAGGGGTGCCAGCGGGAGAAGTCAAGAGGTCGTAGGTAGTTTAATTGACAGATAAAAACCCGCTGGTTCCAGCGGTGTCTTTATTTACCCCTCTAACCGTGGAAAATTTCAAGATATTTGCTCTCAAAGTTCACACATTATAAACAACCTTTTATGGAGCAACGTGAAAGCATCGTAATTTTTTTACCATAATTGAGGAGCCCGTAACTGTCAACCCCCAATAATGGGAGTTACAAAGGGTTATTGGGTTACAAACCATACAAAGCTGTTAAGAAAATGCCTGATATTAAAATGCACCAGTTGTGAGCCAGTTTCTTGATCATTTTCGCTTATAACTATCTAAATCAAGTATGAAAATCAGTAATTAAAATAAATAAAAATATTGTTGTAACATAAAAGCAAAAAGGGTAGGACCCTACAACAATAAATAATTGATATTTATTTTCATTGTTTAACACGGTTACAATGTCAAAAAATATTTTAAAAATATTGTTTCAAGTATAATAATTCATTCATCATAGGTCGTTTTACTTAAAAATATGTTGTACTTTTCTGACATTTATAGAAAACGTGAAACACAAAACATGCTGAACTATCTTGAAAACTATGGTAAGTAAAACTGAAGTGAACATTAAACAAAAATCATGTTATTTAAAAGGAGGGAGAAAAAAGAAACAAGAAATAAAGACAGGAAAAATTAAACAGCTTAAGTTAAAAAATATATCATTAAAATTATTTTTAAAAAATT